CAAACATTTAATGATTTAGCCTCATTTAGGACAGACATTTAACTGTTAATGTTATGAAAAACTGGTCATTAGACTCACTACCTAAAAATTCTAGGCTTATGCAGAAAAATAAATCGAACAACTTTTGCCTCAGGGCCACATCAAAATTCTTCACCGATATATATATATATATATATATATATATTGTCATATATATATATATATATCGTCAAATAGAACTGCCCGGTATATATATGTTGTCCTCTTCTCCCTCTCTGCCTACGGTTTACCGGGCAGTTCTATTTGACGATATATATATCGTCACAAACAGATATATATATATATATATATATATATATCGTCAAATAGAATTGCCCGGTAAACCGTAGGCATATATATTGACGATATACATATATATCGTCACAAACAGATATATATATATATATATATATTGACGATATACATATATATCGTCACAAACAGATATATATATATATATATATATATATATATATTGACGAGAAACTCCGACGAAACAGTTTGTCACAGCCCCTCGTTTGTTGTCCTCTTCTCTCTCTCTGCCTACGGTTTACCGGGCAGTTCTATTTGTGACGATATATATATATATTAAAAAAAATAAAAAATCCTGATTCCTGATTCGAGCAGATTGATACAAGCAAAGAGGAAGGTAGAGAAGGCATGTAAATATATCACACCACAAAGTTGGTTTTCAAATTTCAATGCATCATTACAATGCCTAAAGATGAAAAAAAAAAGAAGCAGCAAGTTTTAAAATTTAAATATCCGGAAAAAAAAAATTAGTAGATAATAGAGAGAGAGACTATGTGTCCTTCGGGACATCCGTAAAAATGGGAACGATACAGAGAAAGTAGATTAGCATGGCCCCTGTGCTTTCAAGGATGACACGCATAAATCGAGACTTAAAACACACACAGGAAGAGGCCCCGCTCCCCCTCGATACAGTTCAACGTGAGCAAAATGGGCCCCTCAGGTAGTCGCTGCACGCGCGCAACATCTTCAACTAATCAGTGGCCTAGCAACACGAGTCTGTCGACGATGCTGGGCCCCCCAAGACGAAAAGCAGCAACTCTTTTTTTCCCTAGTACATAATTAGTGGAGTACGAGATTCAATGTCTCTTCTTGCGTGGACTCGCTAAAGCCATCAGGCCTTCGGCTTCGCCCACTTGGTGTCTCGTGCAGATTCTCGGACTGGGCGCAGCTCGGCCAGAGGTCGCTCGGCCTCTCCAGCCAGCACAAGGCTGCAGTGAGCGAGCGGCTGCTGCGCGCTTGTGCATGAGGGTGCAGCATTCCACACATTCGGGCATTCAGGCAACGCAGCTGCTGCACGCTTCTGCATGAGATAGAAGCTGCGCGTGGCGGCAGTGAGGTGCAAGAATGGGCCGAGCGGCAGCCATAGCGAAGCTGCTCGCTCTGTAGCCGGCAGTGGAGTAGTGGACGTCCTTGGTGGAAGGAGAGCCTGGGAGAGGAGGACAGGCAGTGTGACGAGGCAGGCTGTGCAATCAGAGTCCCCAAGTGGCATTGGGGATGGCGACACGTGGAGCCCTGGGACGCCGTGGGCCACTGGGCCTGGTTCCCAGCTGCTTGGTTGCTGTTTGACATGGGAACGCTGGACCCGGTTTCCATCAGGTGTCACTCCCCAGCAATCACTCGACAGGAGCACGCAGCAGAGAGCCTGATAGAGGAGGGAGCTCATATCACCTCCTCTAGCAGGTCGAGGCTGTCTTTTTGCTTATATAGCTTAAACCACCACTACCTTTCCAAGCTGTAGTCCCATTTGGGAAAATGACCTCATCCGAAAAGTTTGGGGGTCCGGTGTAGGGTAGGTAGGGGAAAAAAAAAAAAAAAAAAGGAATGGGACCCCGCAGTCCCGCAGTGAGAAAAAAAAAACAAAGAACTTCGAAACCAGCTACTTCGAGGAAGCCCCTCACGACGTGGAAGTCACACCAGTGCTCTGCGGAACGTATCTGGCCAGCATGTCGGGAACATGATTGCTGATGGTTTTTTTTTTTTTTTTTCCGTTTCTCGTTGGTGCCCTGCCCGCGAGGCGGGGCGGATTCCACTGGGGGCAGCCAACTGCCTCACCCACGTCATACTGACACCTGCACTGTAGCATCCTGTATTGGACCGCTATAGCACCATAAGGGAAGGTTTTTTTTTTGTCCTTCATTCGTTTTTCATGCGGACAGATGCCCTCACTGAGGGCACAATCTCGCCAGCACCTCATAGAATGTATCTGACGGCTATCACGGCGTGTGGGGAAGATTCTTTTTTTCTTTCTTTTTTTTGTTCTATTTGGGATGTAACGGTCATGAGTACCCAGAGCACGAGGACCATTTGCTGACCGAGTTTTGCCGAACCTGAATTTCATTGTGCACCGAGGTTTTTTTTTTTTCATTTTTTTTTTCTTTTTCTTTTTCATTTCCGTAGAGTACAAGAAAAGAAAGCACAATGGGACCCAGGCTTGGCAAAACTCCGTGTGCAATGAAATTCAGGTTGGGCAAAAACAGGATCGGAGGTAATGGTGGTAAAAAAAAAAAAAAAAAAAAAAGAAGACACGAGGACCATTTGCTGACATAGTAGGCTAGTTGAGATGCCGCGCAATTTTCGGCTCAATCATGTCTGCTCTTCAGTTATACACGCCGCAATCGGTTTATTCAACTTTATTCGGCTGGGTACGGGTCAGCTTTGTCACGATCCGCGATTTTATAGTCTACAGTCTTAAGCATACGTATACGTGTGCCTGAGGGGATGTGTATAGACAAACGGAGGGTATACCCATGGGCAAGAGTTCGAGCCCGGCCCTTGCCTGCCTCCTTTGTGCCTTCAATGAGTTTTTATTTCTGAAAAGTCTGTGTTTACCGACGTCAATACGGGTCCATGGGATGCACATAGTTGACGACGTGACTTTTTTTGTCATTTTTAACGACACCGAGAGGAACTGGTACGAAGTCAAAGGAATTTTTGAGAGGTTTGTTTCGTCGTACGATCCGAACCTCAAGCTACTCGCTACCAGTGAAGGACAAAACTGGTGGGAATTCATCGGCTGCACTATCAAGATCTCGCAGATAACGGACAAACCACGGGTGAGTTGTTTTGCCACCATGGGCGACCAGGACGTGTTGTTGCTTCATAAAGACGTCATTTTCCCGTCCCTCCAAGATTATGGGTCTTTTTCTCCAGTTCAATCCAAGAAAGGCGTTATCACTGGACACCTCCAGCGAATCTTCTCACACATTCGTCTTGTGCTCTATCATCCGGGCTTACTTTACTGGCGTTCCAAACGGAGCTCAGGATTCGGGACTACCCCTCTATCTGGTTCAAAAAGGCTCTATCACATTTCGTCCGAGAAAAACCGCCGGCCTGGAAGGCATGGGCCTACTGTTTCGAAACTCAGGAGTTGAGCGATGACTAACGGTTACCCCCCTTTTTTCCCCCCTTTTCTTCCCCCTACCTCTTTTCATCAATTCCCTGTCTGCTAATCTTTTTCGACGCTTGACCTCGAAGACCCTCTACCTCTGCTTTCTACCTTCTGTCACAGCCTCTCCTACTGCCTGGAATTGGACTCGAACCCATTACCAAGGGCATCTGTTCTCCCACCGATCCCAAATCGTGGACGGTTACGTTGGGACCCGGACCCGACAGCTAGGCCTTTCCTTCTTTCTTACTCCCACGGTAACACGTCTACGACTACCTTATGCACCAAACTGGAACCTCTGGTCTACATCCACTCTGACCCCCCGAACTATTCTAAGTCTTCTAGACACCTCCAGGGACTTTCGTTTCGGAACAGTGAGCTGCCCAGTGGGTACCAGCTTAAGCATAGCATATATAAGGAGTTAAAGCAATAATCTCTTCATCTCCGTCAAGGTTGATCCTCCCCTGAGGATGACCGAGTTTCTGGCATCGGTCGAAACACGTGTCGTGAGTCGCCAGAGGAAGGCTGAGCGTGATGACGTTAAGCCCGCGGCGCTTACTGCGGCTTTTTTCGGTTTGCCTTCGAGGTGCTTCGAGTTTTTGAAAGTTTACGACCTTGACTACCTCTTGTCTATGGTGTCTCTCCCACCTGTTCTATTTTTGACGTCGCGTCGATGTATGGAGTCCCATGTTGGTTTGTGTTACCTCTGGTTGACCACTCACAACGACTTTATTGCTATTCGCATTGCTTTTTTTTAATTTTTTCCCTTTTTTTTTTTGCTTATTTTTGCCCCTCGGTACGATATTTTTGTTTTTTGTTTCATAGGCTTTTTTTGAGAAAAAAAAGACAACGTACTAAACATAGATCTAGTTTTTTAAAGGTCGCTGTTTTGCTGTCCAAGTCTGTCATTTTGACACGGGTCTTCCCCTCTCCCCCCCCCCCCCCCCCCCAACACACACACACACAAAGAAAAAAAAATTAATAATAATAATAATAAAAAAGGCCCTTTATTGTGTCCCGGTCTCTCATTTTGACACCGGTCTTATTCCCACATTGCTTATTTCCTTGCAGAAATGACGAATTGCCTACCATCAGGCGCCATCATATCTGTTGTTTAACTTCTCATCACTTTAGTTCATATATTAATATCAATTTAATAAATTAATAATTCAATACTGGTTAAAGAAGATAAGAGAAAATTGCTTTCACGTGGAATAGCTGGTCACAAGATACAAACCAATTCTTTTGCGTTTTTGGGAAGAAACGTCATTGGTTTTTAAAAAAGTTCAAACCAGAAAAAAAGAAGTTAAAAAAAAAGAAGGGAAAAAAAACGGGGAAAGAAAGAGAAAGATGATGAACAAGTATACAGAGTGTGTCCTTCAGGACATTCGTTAAAATTGGAACGATACAGAGAAGGGTAATTAGCAAATGGCCCCTGCGCAAGGATGACGTGGAAAACTGAGATATGGTCCCAAAAAAAAAAAAAAAAAAAAAAAAAAAAAAGAAACAGTGATACAAAGGAGCTGTCAGTTCCATTTCTGGTTGAGCCTGGACACGATGTCCGCATCCATCCATTCATTCATTTAGTCACTCACCTCCCCACCTCCACTGCAAAGTCGCCGCGAATTGTCCCCGGATCGGCCTCCAACGGGTTTGTCACACCAATTAGTTTCCTCGCGGACGCAACCACTCCCTTACCTTCCCAAATCTGGAAAGAATGCAGCAGCAACCGACAAAGTGTATTCCAAAAAAAGCGTAGTTGGAAAATTCTTAGAGACGTCACCAGTGACAGGACGCTGAGCGAAAACAAAAGAAAAAGCAGCGACAAGAGCTAATAAACAGTTCAACTAACGAAATAAAAAATTATAAAGCCGTTTACATTTTTAACCAACCAATTCAATTAAACTTTCAATATAAAACCTAGAAAGTCAAATTTTAAATCAATACAATCCCAAAACAAAAAACAAAAAACAAAAAAAATCAATACAAGCTGATTTACGAAAACAAATGAGTGA